TTACTCATGTTTGGTCAAGAGCACGCACCGTTAACTGCTGGGCTACTCGTGTTTGGTCAAGAGCACGCACCATTAACTCCTGGGGTACTCATGTTTGGTCAAGAGCACGCACCGTTAACTCCTGGGCTACTCGTGTTTGGTCAAGAGCACCCACCATTAACTCCTGGGCTACTCAGGTTTGGTCAAGAGCACGCACCATTAACTCCTGGGCTACTCAGTTTTGGTCAAGATCACGCACCGTTAACTCCTGGGCTACTCAGTTTTGGTCAAGAGCACCCACCATTAACTCCTGGGCTACTCGTGTTTGGTCAAGAGCACCCACCATTAACTCCTGGGCTACTCATGTTTGACTGGATCGTGGGATTTGACTGTTACTCTTTTATTGCACCCATGGTTCCAAAGAGCGTAGAGCGTGTTTATGTCAACGGGACGCAAGCAATAAACTGTCCTCGGATTCACAGTCCAGGTACGCTAAACACTAGACCAATGGTTCCTAACTGAGAATCAGCTAGTCCCGATCCCAGAATTTCGCGGACTGTTTTGCTAAATATTAATTTTTCAAAGTACTTTTATGTTACGTTGTTAAACAACATACTTCGATAGGTATATTTTTAAGGCACGTTTTTCTTCAATCGTCTTGCTGACCAACACACAGTCCAGCAGTTTTGAACCATTGCTTACGGACATAAAATTAGTATAAGTGTGACTAATCCCACCGACTAAGATACTATTCTAAAAACTACACATCTTTAACGATTTCTAAGTATTGGTAACCTCCTGGTCAACAATTGCTAATTGGTTAATGTACCGAACTATGCATCAACGGGTCATTCGTTGGTTTCCTGTTCCTGTCATAGATAATAAAAAAACACGACTCTAGCGTCATAGGTTTGTTATAAAAATGACGGTCAAATCCCTTTATACAGTCAGACAAGAGTGGCCCAAGAGGTGGCGGTGGGTGCTTTTTACTAACTGCCGTTTGGGAAGGCTAGAGCTGATAGTCCTTGAGGAGCTCTGCGTGAATATCCGAAAACAAACGATAAAACAGATCGTAGTTTCATGCCAAAAAATAAGTCTGGAATAGCTCAACAAGTTGCCGCACACATCGATCGACGATCACGACGAGTGTTTGAATCTACAATTTCCGCCAGTCTACTGTAGTTCTCTCTCTCTCTCTTTTTAATATTTTCCCCAGTGCTAGGTAGGACGAGCTTGGGAAATATGTGAACAATATCTAAGCACGCTAAAACATTAAAGTTTGGATACATTTTTTTTTCTGTCTCGGGTGTTATAATATAAACATGATGTACAGTACCATGACGACGCGTGCATGATAGCTAGTTGACGCGTGAAGTTAGACTCTGCATTGCTGTAATTAGTTTGCATAAATAACAGTAGGTGTGTTTAAAGCTCATGTCCTGCATCTTTATAATGCGGGCCTGGCATGGCCAGGAGCGATCCACTCGCAATCTGAGGGCCACGGGGTCGAATCTCTATCCCACCAAATATGCTCACTCTTTCAGCTGTGCGGACGTTATAAAGTAACGGTCAATCTAACTATTCGTTGGTAAAAGAGTATCCCAAGTATTGGTGATGACTATCTGATTTTCCTCTAGTCTTTCACTGCTAAATTAGGGACGGCTAGCGCAGATAGCCTTCGTTTAGGTTTGCGCGAAATTCCAAACAAACTTCGTAACGCTGATAACATTCTTTAACTTATAGAAGCATAGATTAGTTATCAACTACTTCCTTCTGTAAAATCTAACGATCTTCACTCAAGCAGGATCTCAAATGTTCGGAACGTGAGTAACGTGACATACCGCTATTAAATATGCAACGTTCGGAACGCAAGTCACGTGACATACTTAATACGCTTCCTGTGTTTGTCTAACTTTATTTTACAAACATATGCTGTTGCACAATCGTGTATACAGTTTTTGTAACGCGTGGAGCAAATTTTATATCTGTTACTGACTACCATAATATAACACAATATTGCAATTAAAACTGTACAATGTTTCTTCTCACTACTAGAAGAAACCTTATTCTAAAAGCAAAAACTAGTCGTGATAATTGGAGTAATTCTTGAGAACTAATACCCAATATTATAAATTACTTACCACTAACATTACACCAATAACTGTATAATTATTGAAAAAGCCCAAAAGCCTAAACGTGACAAATAAGTTAAATGAATCTTTTTCAGAAAAGGAAATTATTTCCCTCAAATATTAAGTTACCATCACCCCTTACACACAAGTAAGCTGTTCCAGCCAGTAATAATTCTAAAATAAATAAATAAAAACGTGTGTGTGAAAGAGAAATTCTGGCTACAAACAAGCCTGTATTTAATATACAATAATTATTTGTAATGCTCTTCGTGTTTTTCGTCGATCTAAAACACTTTGATGATGGGTGAATGAAAAAGGTAATCTCAGGAAGATTTTAATACATGCATGTTATAGTTTAACAGATTATTGATACCTGAGGACGTTTAGAAACAAAGATCAATTTCACTTTGAAAATCATGTCGTTTGTTTTTCCAACCTGTTGAAGTGCATAAATAAATAAAATTATCATCTACTCTTTCATTAATTCTTTAAAAAATATTGACTTAACTCAACACCATATACGAGTGTGATTAAAACGTTAATGAAACATCAATACTTTGCTCATTACTTGAATTATGCATCGAAGTTGAGAAGAAAATGGGGTGGGGGAAACAGCAGGGTGTGATACGCCCTGCAGCACATACACCTGCTGCTTCAACGTTCCCGTTTAGATTGGCGACCGGCAAGGGGTATTGCCTACATCATAGACTCTATAGTTGTTGTTTTTATATACTTCCAAAGGCAATACACAACCAGTTTCAAATAGAAAATCTAATAATTTTGTCATCAGACACTTATGTTCTAATTCTGTACAGACTGTTTGGAACTGAAGGAATTGGATTTTATAACAAAAATAAAGAAAAATAACCTTTATAAACCAATACACACTACAGCCGAACACATCGGGCAGGACATGTGTAACTTACTGTTAGCAGTTCATGGAATTACATTACGTGATAGAATAAGTCGTTTCAATGGAAAAAGAGAAGACGACGACACTGGATGTATTAGAAAAGTGAAGCACTTTAAAAATGTGTGGAAAGTTCTTGTGAATTAACAGAGGAGACGAACAGCCTTTGAACAAATGTATCAAATAAGGACTGGTGCAACAGGTTTATCAATCATTTACAAACTTAGCTATACAAGACACTGATGGCTTGGAGCCTTGTAAAATAACGTTGAACAACATACGAAGAGACGAAACTGCCAATGTTTTTACACTTGGACGCAAGCATTGTCGAATAAATTTCATAAAAAAGCATGGCAGGACGATCATGGTTGGAGGAAAACTGAAACAGGTTTAGAGCCTGCACTACTGACACATACTTCCACTATAAAATGGAAAATGTAACTTGTAAAAGCTCTAGATACGCTATCAGGCAGTGTATATATCGATCTCAAGTGGAAGAGGTAATCTTCAATCTGACGGTTTAATTTCATTCGAAGTTCGATAATAAACAATCTAATTTTTTACTTCTTTGAACTTTATAGTAATTAGGAACGTAGTAATAAAGTCCAGCACGCTGACTACTAGATTATGCCTGGCTTCCTTACAAAAACCCTAACAACAACAACAACAACAACAAAAATCATATTTAATGGAGTTACTTAAAACGTTCAAGCTTGTAAAGCAATGTGTCTATTAGGCCTAACAAAATTAATTATAACCACGTTTGACTGCAGAATTTTTTCTTCACATTGTTTAAAATCAGATCTTTAAAAATTTCGAATGAAAGGCGTGTGTAAATAGTTTTACATATCTGTTTCGTCTGTCACAAAAAAAAAATCACACTGAAACGTGATTTTATTCACTTTAAGTCTTTTAAATCCCAATTACCATTCTTTATTTGAAGAGAAAGTAGAACGAACAGCCTCAACCGGAAACTAAGAATATATTACCTAATTTTGAACAATAATAAACATGCACGTCGTGGGCGCCCGCAGGAAGGGGGGAAAGGGGGGTGTCATTTGACTCTCCCTGGATTTTCAAAAAAAAAAAATACTAGATACGTAAAATTCTTATTCTGTGTTATTGGAAAATCACAAGGTATTGTATTTCGATTTCAGAATTTTTTCAAACTTGAGTTACTTGACCCCGCCTATTTTTTTTCTGCGGGAGCCCTTGATGCACGTGTATAACCTCTAGCTACCATTAATAGCGTTCAAGTGGTTTATAAGAACTTGCATTTCTCGTGCGTTGAAGATCTTATCGACCTTATTTCTTTTTATTGACACTTCTGCACTCTCATTGACTAAAAACAAAATACAGTAAGTTTTCGTTTTATAGTGAACTGGTTATTACATGTAAATAACCAGGAAAACGAGCACCAGTTGTAAGTGTAACGCTGTAAAAGCACCAGTTGTAAGTGTAACGCTATAAAAGCACCGGTTTATAGTGTTTTTGTTAACTGATAATTAGGTGCTAGATGTCATATGTTGCTGTTTTGACAATGTAAAGAAATGGAATTATTTGTAACACTTTTGTAGGGTTCATTACATTAATAAGCTATACAGGTATGATTACTTTAGTAAGGTTCATAAAGTGTTAAAAATTACAATGTGTGCGTCAATACTACTACAGCATGCATACAAGTTTACAAAAATACAGATTGCCATGGAATCTATTGAGTTTTATTGTAAGTGGTACACGCCCAACTAAGCTTTAAGAAACACAGTATTATGAAATAGCTGGGGGCTCCCCAAAAAATTATTTACAACTAAACACACACTCGAACATTTATCTGGCAGTATCTTTTGAACTTTTAATTACCAAGACGTATATTTTCAGGGGTGATGGTGGAAACATTCAGAAATTATTCTAGAGTTGTTGTTTTAAAACGTAATTATAAAGGATCAAACTTTCTGTGAGATATAAAACAATACACTTACTTCTGAAGTACATGATGAAATTATCATTAATCATACGAGGTAGGTCTTCTATCACATTACGCTGGATACTCTCTAGTTTGTTATTAGACAACTCCAACATCATCACATTGGGGCTGCCTCTAAACACGTGGGCGGGGAGCGTCCTCAGGTGGTTTCGATTCAGGTGGAGACTCATCAAGAAAGAAAGGCCGTGGAAAGCGTTGGATGCGATTTCTGAGATCCTATTTTCCTTCAGGTCAAGTTCGTGCAATCTAGGTGTACCGATGAAGACATAGTTATCCAGCTTTGTCAAGTGATTTTTATACAGGTCTAAACGGCGGAGGCTTTTCAGACCATTAAAGGTGTAAGGTGTAATGTGTTGGATCTTGTTATTCCATAGTTCTAGTTCCGTCAGGTTGGACAGATGGAGGAAAAAGTTATCGTCGATCCAGGATATGTTATTTCTGTCCAACACTAAAAATGTTAATCGTGGCAAGTCGAACAGTGTTTCCGCCCTCAGTTCTTCAATACAATTATCGCTGAGGACGAGACTAGTTATTCTCGGCAGGTGCGAAATAGCGTGTTTGTGGAGATACCGTATTTCGTCATTTTCTAAAGACAATCGACCAAGGTATTCTAAATTAACGAAGGAATTAGTAAGAAGCTCTGGTATTGAACACTGTTTAATACTGACCTCCTCAAGTTGTGGTGTTCTTAAAAGGGCTTCTGTTGGAACGAAATTTAGGGAACCGGAGGAAAGTTGAGAAGTTATCGTCAGACTAGTTAGTTTACTTTGTCGCGCGAAACCCTTCCAAACTTCATCATCTGGTTTCAAAGAATTGATGATGAAACAAGACATCCAGGTTGCTTCGTCCACTCCATCTAGATCACAGTTACAGAACATCGAATGATTGGCTATTAACGTATTGCATAGAACAGCTAATGATGCGACTCCTTGGCTCCAAACAGTCACTGACATCACTCCGAATAACAGTCCAAGAAGTGAATTTATCATCATTGTGTCAGTTGAAGTACAAACTCAATAAAGATTCCTGAAAAAAATGACCAAATAATAGAACACTAATTAATACATTTTTATGTTGTGAACATATTTTGCTTGCGAAACGTAATTATAATCATTTAACTTAATTATTTTGTCTTATGGCAAATATAATAACGTAGCCGACGAAACAGGAAGGTATTGGGGGCACGTTCCCCCAATTTTGACCCAGTAATGAAGTGCCCCTTTGAATGCCCCCCACAAATTGAAGTACGTTTCATCGCCTACGTATAATAAATAACAAATCTCTGATAAAACAAATGTTCGATAAAACCGAACGTACAGTTTCTATCAATCGGCAACATAAATCGTGTAATGTTCGTACAAATTATCGTTACAGTAGTAATTAAAAGGTTATAATATTAGAGAAATCACCCAGAGGAGATTAAATGAAAGGATTGTCGACTGGTATCAGTTTATGACTTAATTTATAATAAATAGCTAACAAATAGTAAGTAAACGAAAGTGAAATGTTACGGGTGTATGCAGAGAATTTTATATATAATTTTTGAAACAACCGATAACTTAAGAGAGAAAGAAAAAAATTCGATCGATAAACCTTCGTTAGACATTTATACCACTGAGAAGGAAAGTCCACTTCTTTCCGAAAGAGCTCTGGTTATTGAGTTTCGTTTCTGTTGATTTTATCTGTTAATCCTGCCTGCTTTGGGATATAATGAGTGTTACTTCCCTGTATCAGCAACCTAGAATGACCATTATTAGGGATATAATGAGTGTTACTTCCCTGTATCAGCAACCTAGAATGACCATTATTAGGGATATAATGAGTGTTACTTC